TGGTGCCAACTTGGGCCAGTGAAGCAACGTCCTCCACAACTAGACTGAAGAACAAAAAACAACAGCAACTTGTCTGTTCCCCTTCCGCCGATTCCCCAGCGCTGTTCCCCTCCCCCAATTCCCCAATTTAAAAAAACAAACAAAAAAAAAACTGTTACTGTATTATTATAGTTCTAGTATTATCAAAGTTACTTATGCAATAAAAACTTAGTAATGTATTGAATATCAGGCAGTGAAGAATATGAATTATATAGGGATCTTTTTTCCCTCATGAATTTCATAACATAACTTATACATAAACAGCTAGAAACTGATAAAAAGTAACAAAGCCATAGAAGTAAAGTTTGTGGAAGAAGACATTCAGGAAAAGGTAAAACTGTGTAACTTGTAAATTGGGGCAGACACATGGCTATCAAGAAACTTGACTACTCTCAAAGGACTGATCAGTTTAGAAGTTTGAAGAGGGAGGGGTGTTGAAGTAAATAAGAGTTTAAAGAGGATTAAAAAAAAGGAGCTATAGGATTTCAAGATACAAAGATCTTCATTTTCTTGATGAGGTAAGAGATGGTCTGCTAAGAGTAGAGTACTAGGGTTGGGAGTTTCAGGAGAACGAAAAAAGTTTCAAGCCATTTTGTGGAGGATGCATCAGGGAATAACTAGATGAGTAAAAGTATTGCTCAGAGCCACTGAGGGTTAAGTAAAGCTGGAAAACATGGAATTTGCGTAGAGCCAATCAGAACCAATATGTAATTATCTCCAGCTATGTTCAGGAATCTAAGAATAAGAACTAGAAACAGAAAGTTGGGTTTATCTGGAGGTTTGGGATTGGCAACAGTGCATGCACTCCAATTCTCTAAAAACACAATTCCATACTCTCTCTAAAATACAACTACATATTTTATATCAAACATATAAAATCTACGCTTTCTTGCTTTCTTAAATGAGAAACATAGGATGCCACTTTATCATGTAAAGAAAACTGGTTTTGGAGCCAGAAGAAACAGGATTCAAATTTGGGTAGTTGGAAGGAGAAACAAGTCTCTTGGCATAAAAAAATCCAAAAGGAAACCCTGATAACCATCCTATTAAAATTGTTTCTGAAACACTAGCAAACTTGGTTACCTGGGTTTCCTGTGAAAGTAAACTGTAAATATTTATCTCATTTAATTGTTATGTATTTGAACAGAGCCAGGATGTTAGAGGAAGGCATAATAGTAGTAGAAAATAATGTCAAATAGCAAGACACTGGGAAAGAGTTAAAAAAAAACAAAAAAACCCAGAGGAGCAAACTACATAAGCATTTAGGTTTTAGCCACTTACTTTAGGGATGGAGAGCTCAGTACAATACTTAGATTTAATAACAAAATATAATTATATATATTCCTGATTATATTCTTTTTAGAAACCATAATAATAGGAGATACCGTTTATTTTGTAGATTAAACTATATGCTGGACACTGTCCCAAGCATTTTATATAAATTATATTTCATCACTGCCAAAGCTCTTAAAAAATAGGTGTTATTGTTCCCATTTTAGGAATGAGAGAACAATATAAAGCTCAAAGACAAGGTCAAATGGGTAGTAAATGGTAAGTTCCTGCCTAATAATTTATATGTCAGCTACTGAAAACGTATGAGTTGTGCTCATTTCTAGAGATATTTGCAATTTGAAAAAAATTCATAAAAATAGAAAATTCCAAAAAATATATAACTATAATGATTGTGTCCATACTTTTTAAAGTAATTTATTTCAAGGGATCTTTCCTGTTTTCTTTTTACAAGTTTTGTTCTTACAGGTTCTGTACAAATTAAGATACCTTCCCTTCTAACCTTACAGTAAAACTTCTCTTTAACCTCGTTTGTCACTATTCAAAATGTATTGGCTCCCCCAAAAGAAAACGCCTTGAAAACAGAAGGGGATAATACATATTTAGCCTTTAATAGCCAGCCATCTGAACATCTAGCACAGTGACAAGCACATGGTAGGCACTAAAACATTTACCCATGTATAAGACACACCCTTTTTTGAAAAAATTGGGGTCTAAAAACTGGGTGCGTCTTATACAGTGGTTATAGATTTCAAATGCCATAGATGGACTGAGGACGAGGCAATATATGAAGACAGTGATTCGTCATCAGACACAAATGAGGACAAGCTAATGGTTGGGAGTTTTAACAGTGATGAGGAGTTGTATGAATTTTATGATGAATAAAACTTGTGTTCAATAACTTTATGTAATACATTTTTTTTCAAATTTCAGGCCCCAAAATTAAGGTGCGTCTTATACATGGGAGTGCCTTATAAATGGGAAAATACGGTATTTCCTATTGCATGCAAATTATCATTTCGTAATCTAACAGTCGATCAGAAAAATGCTTGAATAAACCATTTAAAAAAGGCAAGAATCTATTCTACAGCCTATATTTAAAATAAACTCAATATTTATGATATTAATGAACAGAAAAAATTTGAATAATATTTTGTTATAATGAATATTTTCCCAAGTAAACAGGTATGCTGTTGTGGACAATACAATGATGGTGTCTAACACACAAGGAATTTATAATCTAACAGAAATAAAAGATGACTGCCTTGAGGAACATTACTCCTTAAAGACCTATGGTATATCTCTAGAATGTAAACAAAGTAATTATTTCACAACATTAGTCATTACACTTAAAATTATAGGACTTTAAGGGGTGGAAGGAAGTTCCCAAAGCATCATTTCCTCTTTCTGTACTCAAATAGTCTCTAGAATTCTAACTAGTTTTGGTACTCAAATCTTTACTAAGTCAAGAAGAGTAGAAATATTGATTTAAATATTTTAAACCAGCATATTTTTGTAACTTTTTTTCTATGATATTCTTACCATAAATCTTGGTCTAGCCATTCAATTCAGCATACAAACTTATTTGTTCACTTTTTCTGACCAAAAAATTATTGTCTTCATTTTAAAGGTTAAGAGCTGGATCTAACCCAGAACTGCGAACAGATAAGTCTTTTGGCGTATACATTTTAATACCGGGAAACTGTAAATTTTTCAATTCTTTTCTCTGGACGCATGAAGAAAGAAAAAAAAAGATACACTTTTTGAGTTCTAACACTTTTTTTACATCAGTTGTCTCTCTTCTAAGGTAAAAATAATATTCCAGAACCTTAAGGAAATTACATTCCAACTTAAAGAAGCATTTTGGAAAACTGACAAAAAGAAGTATTTAGTAATAAAGGAATAAAATTATCAAAATTTGTTGACTCGCATGTTTTAAATAATGACAAAGACAAATTTAAAGAAAACTAAGGTTATCTTATAAAAGGCCATAAAGGCAATTTTAGAAGGTAAAGGTACTGGGAACATCTATATTTTTTTAAAGCAAGAAACATCTCTCATAGGAAACAAATATACAGCAATACTATATCAAGTCAAAACAACTTTCTAAATAGTATGTATGCTTAGTAATGCTGTAAATTCTTAGAACAAAATTACAGAAACTAAATGTCCTAGTAGTAACAAACTTGGCCACTTTTGTAAAGTCATTACTAAAAAGGAAGTTGGCGCATTTGTTCTTAAATGAGGAAATTATGCTTTTAAAGCAATATAACTACATTTCTTATCATAAATAAAAGACTGGTTTTAACAGATTACCTATTGATAATAAAATAAATCCTACATTTTAATCATTAGAGCACTGTAAGTTTACTGATATACTACCAGAAATGTTTAAGTACCTATAATTTTTATAGCAAAATCCTATGAAGCAAATATAGACATATAAAATAAGGACTTAGTCATAATTTACAAATAAGAGTGTCTTCTAAATGGTGTTTTATAAGGATCTGTGAGTGAGGACAAGAAGCATACTATGTTATGATAGTGGTAAGTATGTTTTTAAGTTTACCAAAGGAAAAATGGTTCAAAGATCTATGTAAATTTTTTTAAATTGATATTCATGTCAACAAAAAGCTTAAGAGTTGGATTTGAATATATATAAACCAGAGACCCACTAGGACGTCTACTATGACAAGCAAAGATATCACCTCTGAGCAGATCAGAAAAAAGCACCCTTCCTCTGAGCTGTCGACCCCACCACAGAGCAAGTAAAGCATAGACTGGATTTCAGCCACCAACTCACAACCCTTGAACACAACCATATGCTACAGCTTTGCTCAATTGTTAATAAAAAATAAGTCCTTTAATTTCATCTAAATTATTACCTTATATTAAACCTTTGCTGGTTTATATCAAGACTCAGATAATCATTTAAGTGTAGCCTCTATGCATTTTTCCAGGGGTCGCTACATAAACAAAAAACAATAAAGAGCAGTATTTAACCCAGAAGTACTTTAACCCTCTGGAAAGTTTCAACTAATTTAGATATCAGACTTTTGCATTAATGATATGGGCATCATACTCACTCACTGCTGATGTGTATGTTACAGTATGTATTATAAGTCAATGTTCTTTTAGCTCACATTTTTTTAAGTAATTTAATTTTGAAATACAGTCAATTTTATACTATATCTGTTCATATTGTTTTATTTTTTTGGAAAAAACGTTACACAGACAAATGTGGCCCATTTCCTTCCCAGTCTCATTTTCCTCATTGCTCCCCAAAGATAACTCCCACTATGTGGTTTAGTGTTTACTGTCCCTACGCATCTCCTTAATATGTATTTACTTATATATAAATAAAAAGGATATTTCTTAACAGAGGATTGAAGATTATGCAAAAGGCATCAAAATATACATATTTTTCTGGAACTTTGCTTTTTTTGCTCAACATTATACTTTTTAGCTTCCAGTGGCTTTTCTATACAAACAACATGCCTTGGCTCATGCTGTGAACTTTCCTAAAATCTCTCAATGGTTCACAAACCCCAAACAAGCAGCATCTGGCTTCAGCATGGCCTGTACCTCTTGTTGAGAAGCACCAAGTCTGACAATGGTGGCTGCCTGCCTTGGTTCAAGGCTTGCCCTCTCCCAGGCACCTGCAAGCGAAGTGTGGGTGGCATCCATCTGTAGATTGGTTTGTGGCTCATTCCAGGTGGCCCTGGGCAGGGCACAGGCTGCAGCTGAATTTGGCCTGCAGCAAAGCCCCGCAGACCCTGGAGCCAGCACTCTTGGTGGCCAGTTTTAGACCTAGCTGGAGCACCACCTGGCTGCCTCCTCGGACAACACACCCAAAGGGCAGACTGGGCAGTCACCAGAGCCCTGCTAAAGCGGATCCTACTCCATAGGGTCAGTCTCAGCACAACAGCAGCTCCTCCACTATAGTCAAGGCCAGTCCAATTAGCCTGAGGGTCAATCCCTCCCACTGACATGCAAACAGCAATCAAGGCTCAACGACAATAGGAGGGCACATACAACTCATACAAGGGACACACCTACATCACCTGGCTTAGGTGACCAGGGATATGGCAACACTGGACCCCACAGGACACCTACTACATAAGGCCACTCTACCAAGACCAGGAGACACAGCAGCCGTACTTAATACATAGAACAAACACAGGGAGGCAGCCAAAATTTGGAGACAAAGAAACAAGTCCCAAATGAAAGAACAGGACAAAGCTCGAGAAAAAGAACTAAACAAAATGAAGACAAGCAATCTACCAGATGCAGAGTTCAAAACGTTGGTTATAAGGATGCTCAGTGAACTCAGGGAAAACTTCAACAAAGAGATTGGAAACATAAAACTGGAGATGGAAAACATAAAAAAGCAAGTCAGAAATAAAGAATACAATAACTGAAATGAAGAATACATCAGAGGGAATCAACAATAGATTATAGGAAGAAGAGGATCAAATCAGCAATTTAGAAGATAAGGTAGCTGAAAGCACCCAATATGAACAGCAAAAAGAAAACAAGAATTTAAAAAAAACGAGGATAGTTAAAGAGGCTTCTGAGACAACATCAAGCATGTAAACATTTGCATCATAGGGATAACAGAAGGAAAAGAGAGAGAGCAAGGAATTGGAAACCTATTTGAAGAAATAATGATGGAAAACTTCCCTGATCTGGTGAGGAAAATAGACATACAAGCCCAGGAAGCAGAGTCCCAAACAAGATGAACCCAAGGAGACCCACACCAAGACACATCATAATTAAAAGGTTAAAGACAGAGAGAATCTTAAAAGCAGCAAGAGAAAAGCCGTTAGTTACCTACAGGGGAGCTCCCATAAGACTGTCAGCTGATTTCTCAACAGAACCTTTACAGACCAGACGGGATTGGCACGAAATATTCAAAGTGATGAAAATCAAGGACCTACAACAAAGATTAATCTACCCAGCAAAGCTATCATTTAGAATCGAATAATGAATAAAGAGCATCCCAGACAAGAAAAAGCTAAAGGAGTTCATCACCACCAAACCAGTATTACAAGAAATGTTAAAGGGACTTCTTCAAGAAGGGGAAAAAAAGATAAAAAATATGAATAATAAAATGGCAATAACTATTATCTATCAACAATTACTTTAAATGCTGCAATTAAGACATAGAATGGCTGAATGCGTAAGAAAATAAGACCCTTACATATGCTACCTACAAGAGACTCACTTCAAGTTTAAAGGCACACAGACTGAAAGGAAAGGGATGGAAAAAGATATTTCATGAAAACGGAAATGAAAAAACAACAACAAAAAAAGTTGGGTAGCAATACTTATAAGTAGACCTTAAAACAAAGGCTATAACAAGAGCCCCACTAATCCCACTTCTGGGTATTTATCTGATGAAACCCAAAACACTACTTTGAAGGGACATGTACACCCATATGTTCATTGCAGGATTATTTACAACAGCCAAGATATGGAGGCAACCTTAGTGTCTATCAATGGATAAATGGATAAAGAAGATGTGGTACACATATACAATGGAATATTACTCAGCCATAAAAAAGAACGAGATCTTGCCACTTGCAACAACATGGATAAATCTACAGGGTATGATGCCAAGTGGAGTAAGTCAGATAGAGAAAGACAAATGCCATACGACTTCACTTATATGTGGAAATCTAAAAAACAATGTAAATGGTACCGTGTAGAATTGTGTTGTGCTCTATCCTTTATGCTCATCCACCCTCATCTAGCAGTTTTCAGGTTATCTCCTGCCAGCCCTGTAAGGCCCCAATTTAGTATTAGTCTTTTAAAGGCAGCTTTTAATTATTTCTCTGGAAGAATAATGGGGATATGGCCAAAACAATCATGAATTGGCTCCTTCACTTGACTGACCTCCAAAACCCCAACTTTCAGTAAAGCTTTAGCCCTAGTCAGCAGCCCAAGAGCCTTCTTTCTTTCCTACCTATAGCTTTACACAGTGAGTGGGGCTCCTTGTGCTTATCTTAAGTAGGGGACATTTAGTCCCCTATACCACACAAAAGCCAAACTGTACTGTGTAACTTAGGACTTTGAGCCCAACAAGCCTGCATAATCAATCTCTACATGCCACTTCAGGTTTTTGTTCAATTTCTGTTCACATGGGTAACAGTCTTCCTTTTCGATCCTGTTATTTTGTTTTTCCTTTTATATTTTATTCATAATTGCTGTCTGGAATGGAAGATGTTTTAAAATTGTAAACTTATATGCCTCACCTTTTCCCCCTCCCAATTTTTATTTATTGCACGAACATTACAAGAAATATACCCCAAATTCTGTTTTAATTTTTCCATATTCTCTTCTAGTTTTTGCCCATGTATGTGCACTTTTGTAATATTATAACTATAATATGGTTACAATTTGGTTTTCTTTTTTTACTGGATATTTCAAATACTTTACAAAGCTTTCAAAATTATCACTCCCCACGGCTCATTCCTAATATAAACTATACCACATCAAACAAGTGAATGGTTTAACTGTTTTGAAAAGGGGAAAAAAAACCTACTTTCAATAAAAACGAGAGTGGGGGAAAGGGTTGCGGTTTACCACAATACTACATAAATGTGCTCAAAGTCAGCAATAAATCACCCACAACATATATTTAAAGCTTATCTTCAAGCATCTATGCCTTTCTAAATATATCAGTCTTGATTCAAAAATTTTTTTACCTCACTGTTAAATCTTATAGTATCTCATCAATTATATTATGAAAATATCCTGTAAATGTGTCTCCGATATAAACAGTTCCTTTTAATGTATTTGCTAATCTATTTACTATATGCAATATATTCTGCAAACCTACTTGTTTCACTGAGGGAAATCACTAAGACTCAGAGGCACAGTGTCTTCATCTGTAATATGAGGTCATATTCTTGAGTGTTTGAAGATTAAAAGCAGTCTTGTATGTGACAGTGCTTTGAAACCAAAGGTATTATTTTTATTATAATTACCTTTTCTATTTCTCTTTGTGTAGCTCCTTCCTTTTTCAAACGTTCCTGTTCTACACACTTGGCATTGTAGTTTTCCTTGGATTTCTGGAGGGCCTGAGTTATGCTCTGAATGGTTTGAACAGCTTCCAGAGTTCCTGCAACTTCTTCTTTAGTCTGTTTGGTATGAAATGATTCATCAACAATCATCAAACTGTAAAGCATTCAATAGCTGACCAATCAATCCTTTAGCAAGAAAAAACTGATACCTTTTTATGAGATTTTACTTGTTCTTCTCCATACTTCTGAACTTCCTTTATTAATTCTTGTAATTTTCTAACAAGCTCCAAGTGACAGTTAGCTAATTTCTCCGTAGATGTTTTGAACACATCCCACACCGGTGCAAATGTTCTAAGGGAAAGAAAACATGGGAACAATTTACTAAAAGAAAAAAAAGTTTAAGGCTCCAAAATAGAACCAAAGGAAATAATGTTATATTCAGCAATTTTTAACTAGGGAAAAGATGAAATTAAAATAAATCACAAATTAAATAACTGACAGTCTAACCTTAATTTTTTAATCCTTGGTTAATTATTTAAAATATTTTTGGACCTCAGGTATACAGAAATGGGTTAACTATTTATTACACGGCTCTGGCCCTCACTTAACTATATTGTATTATTTTTCAGAGTTGATTTGTCTATTTAGATTTGTATCAGAAGCATTTCTAATCATTGTCTAATGTTAAAAATTATCAAATTTCAATTTAGACTATTTAGTGCTCCACTTAAAATGTGTCATCAGCGCCGGCCGAGTGGCTCAGTTGGTTAAGAGCTCGCTCAAGAGTCTGAGCTCTGAGCAACAGCAGTTCAAGTCCCTGCCTGAGCTGAGCAGCCGCTGAGCTGCCAACAGGTGGCAGGATGGCTCAGCTAAAAAATAAATTAATTAATTTAAAAAAAAATGTGTCATCAAAAATAAAAGTTCCTTTGAATTTGAACACACAAAAGTCAAACTTGCATATCATTTTTTAAGTGTCTTCATCATTAATAATTATCTAAGAATTATTTTAGAACTGTTATCTGAAACCTTTTAGGGGACATTATAATTTTATCTATATGTGTACTTCAGCAAACATTAAGAGGTCCCATACAGGATGTATGACATACTTTCCCACTACTTTTTCTCAATATTGAGGCTTTAATATTTTCAGCAGTTTCAAGTACTTCCAAGAATTACTCTGTTATTATAGCTTAGATAGTACTTAAAATGCCAATTGTTAATTTAAACCAATTGGTCAGTGGTCAATGATCCAAGGATAATTTTGCCTATGCTTTCCTCAGGTACTTTCTATATCCTAAGCTATTTTCAACAGCATTTCCTTTGCTCTATGATAAAGCTTCTAACAAAAAACAAAACAAATAGCAGCAATGATCACTAAGGCAAGAGGATAGAAAAAGAAATTACTTATCCTAACATGTACTCTGTGCCGATTATTACATTTCCTACCCAGTAGAAAAGCCAACTGGCAATGCTCATTTTAAGCAATAATAAAGAAGATCAAAAAAGATAATTAAAATACTTAGAATAGGACTGTTCTGATTAGATCTCATTTCACATTTTAAAATTTAATCCGCACTAAATGTGGCAAGTAGTTAAATGGAAAATTTCAAAAGAAAAAAACGACACCTGAAAAGTATCCGCTCACTACAGCACCTAAAGACATGTACATCGCTTCATGTAAACCTGATACATGATAGTCTAGACTTCAAAAAGCAGATAAGATGGGAGTGTCCCTTTACCAAAGGATTCTTTACACTGAAAAGTGGTTCACCATAAGATTTCTTTAAATATAGGTTTCTTTAAGGAATTTCAAATATTATTCCATTTATAAAAGTGTGACATATACAACTTATTTTCTGGTCAAGTAATACATATGAAGGTATAATAAACACTAAGAAAGAAAACTGACAAATCCAAAATATGTTTAAATGCAACTACAGAAAGATTCAATTCAATTTCTTGCCTAATTATGCACCAGTAAACAAAAAATTAATCTTTAAAATCTTTATGATCTTCACTTCATAAATTATGTAAATGCTTAACCACTGCATTGTACACCTGAAACTAATATAAAATACTGAATGTCAACTACAATTTAAAAATATATATGTATTAAAAAACATTTATGTATTAATATATATGTATTTATATATACATATATATATACACATACAGTCACAGGATGTAAATACAGCATAGAGAAAAGTCAATGGTGTTGTAATACCTATATACGATGTCAGAGGGGTAACAGACTTGTTGGAGTTACCACTTTGTGAGGCGTGTAAATATCTAACATTATGTTGTTTTATACACTTGAAACTAATAATAAATAAACTGCCAAAAAAATCTTTATGATCTTAAGAGATGACACTACCACAAAAAATAAAATGTCACCTATTATTTATGAGAAGCACACATTCCAAAGACAGAAATGTTGTGATTTTATTATTAGGAAACAGTTTAAGTCAATCCATGTGTTTTCCGTGTCTCCCACTTGGTAGCTAAAAATAAGTTAGAGTTCCCTATAATAAAACCAGGGCCAATTGGTTAAAGCTAGCTTCTGTTATTCTAGTTACTTCTCTACCCTTCTACTGTGGTGAATAAAGATTCCCACTCTCCTCTAATAAAAGGTAGTAGCTCTGCATCCATCCCAGCCAGTGAACATGGCTATAAAGGCCTTCTTAGCTGTGGCTGTCCAGCACTAACATAATGGCCAGTGTCACTACTTAGTGGATAAACTCAGAGTCCAACTCCTCTTTATCCAGGCAACAAAGTAAAGGCTTTTGTTTTAACTCACTCAATGACACCAGAGAGCACTTTCATAAAACAGTTATTCTTAACCAGTCTTTTGGATCACAGAACCGTATGTGAATCTGACAACTGGTATAGACCCTCCTCAATCAGAAATATGAATTAATACTTACACAAAATTTTATCTAAAATTTCAGGGGATTCACAGATTCATCAGAAACCCAGATACAGAGGATTCTTTTATTAAATAGACTATAAAAATCTTTATTATTGTTAGACTAATTATTTTCACCTCTGAGCTAAAATATAACCTTTCTCCAAATTTTAGATAATTAAGTCAGATTAAGTATCCCTTCCAAAGTTGTTATGGTTCAAATTATACAATTATTCTTCCCAGAATTGTTATGGCTATGAGAACATCTCACTTTAAGTATATTCTTATTATTGATATTCATTTCAAAGAACACATTTCTTTAACACAAACTTTTGGAAGATTTAATGATAATCTATAAAATCATAAGAGACATTTCAGTCATTTCAATAATTTATTTTAAGTAAGTTTTTAAAGATCACTGTTCAACAGAATTTAAATGAACTTCCAGAAAACTAGAATAACATGCGTAACACATAACACTTATAATCTCAAAAATATATGCACCCCTATGTTTACTGCAGCGCTAGCCAAGGCTTGGAAACAACCAAAATGCCCATCAGTAGATGACTGGATTAAAAAACTGTGGTACAGTTATACAATGGAGTATTACTCCACTATAAAGAAGAATGAAATGGTACCATTTGCAATGATACGGATGGGCCTAGAGAACATTATGTTAAGTGAAATAAGTCAGTCAGAGAAAGACAAATACCATGTGATTTCACTTATATGTGGTAAATGAGTAAAGTAAATTTGAAATAGTCTGAGAGACACAGAGGAAAAACTGATGGTTGCTAGATGGGAGGGGGTGGGAATGAGGGAGAAGGGGAAGGGATTCGGTAGCATAAATTGGTAACTACAATATTGCCACAGGGATATGAAAGACAGTTCAGGGAATATAATTAATAATGCTGTAAATGTTTTGTAGGGTGTCAGATGGTCATGTCTTGTTAGGGAGACCACTTCATGGACGGTGTACAGGCTTGACCACTGCACTGTACACCTGAAACTGACATTGAATAATATTGTATGTCAATTATATTTTAATATATATAGTCATGGGATGTGGAATATAGTGTTGGGAGTGGAGTCAATGGAATTGTAATAGATATGTATGATGTCGAAGGTGGGGGCAGTGGATTGGGGGAGGGGATGTTGGATTGGGAGAGGGGGGTTGTCACTTTGTGAGGGGTAAAAAGTATAACTATTGCACTGTTTTGTACACCTGAAACTAATAAAAAAAAATTACTGAATGACTATGCAGTTCAATAAAGGGGAAAAATAAGTTTCATTTACTTTGACAGCATTAAGTGATTCAGCAAGTTCAATTATACTTTCAGTCAAGGCAAGAATATATTCAAATATAAATACATGTAAAATAAGTAATTATATATTATATTTATGAACTATTATATCCTTAATTAAACCTCGTATTCTGAAGAACTTTCCATAAATCAACATTGAAAAAGGGTTATCCAAAGAAATGAACTCACCCAAGTTGTGAATAATTGCTTGCAGATTTTGCTAGTTTTGTCATTGACCTGGAGTACGCCTCTTCTATTGTAGCTCTGTTAAATCAAATTCCCATATTATCTCTTTTTTAATGACCAAACACATAGCAAAGTTATCAAATACAATTAAAACTATAGAATCAAAAAGATAAATTATATGTTAAAAACAAGTCGGTATGTGATCATGAATTTCTGACCTATCTTTAAATGACCTTTGTGCACATCTACTTAAAGAACTAGTCTGGTATAGCACTAAAATAATTTATATCACCAAAAAAACTTAACTACTCTTTTTACCTTTAGTACCACTGTTTATTTAAACAGAAAATACAAGAGTACTGCTTCTGTAGTTTCTCTTTCTGTAAAATGACTCAGTGTAAAAGTCATTTATTTTTAATACCCACTTGGTGTACTTAATATAATTTTATTATTCTTTAGCATTGTGATTTATTATGCATATTTAACAGAACAAGAGATTAATGATAGTAATTTGCACAAAACTAAACATGAATTATTAGCAAGTTTGAAGTCCTGAATGTCATAGCTTAATCTATTATGTGATTAGATCTAATATACTAACAAGTATTTCACACTAGAATATTGTGTTTTATATAGCTACTATTTAGCTGATAGGCTTTTAGGCTTAAAAAAAATCAACAAAAGCCATTGAAGACGGGATAAAAACATTTTTCCCATAGACACAAAACATACATATACAAAATATGAAGCTGTCTTGGCCTTCTTAACAATACAAAACTTAAAAGTTCTATCTTACCTCTCCATAATTACCACATTGCTTCCCAATCTGTGCTACCCTTAACAGTGGAACAGTCTATAAACCACCACTGCCCTTCCATTTACTTTGATAGATTCAACTAACTTTTTGCTTTTAATGTCCAAATCCAATGTCCAAATCTCCACACTGCTCTTGCATCTGTTTAAACCATCTGTTTAATATCTAAATGCACAACACTACTTAAGTATCTTAATCACCTCCAAGTCAGATTATCCAAACTAAACTTATCTCCAAACTCTTTTCCAACCCCATCTCCACAAAAACCAGCTCTCTAACAAAAAGGAAGTATTAAAAGTATCTGTCTCTCACTGCAGGCATTGTGACTTTTTTCTGCTCCTTTAAACTTTGTCTTTTTAATATACTATATTACAAAAGTAGTACTTTGATAATCTAAAAAAGTTAGTACAGAAAGAAATAATATTTCAATGGATATGTTTAACAGCTAGAAGAAAACTGGTTTAATTTCCAGTAATAATGAATTGATACAAAAATTTCCCAATGAGGAAAGCTAGACAAAAATGCAAGGGGAGAAGGGGTATGACTAAAAGGCATCAGAGAAATAAAGAAGCAGTTAAGAATCAGTAGGCTAAAATCCAAGAAAAGAATATCCAGAGAAGTGAGTCATATATGTAGGGCAGCTTTTCCCCTGGGGTCATCTAGAACAAGCAGCTAAGCCTGAGAAGTGGAGCAGAGCTTTTCACAGCCTCACAGGTAAGGGAGACAAAACTACAGATTCAGAGCTGCCAATGATGGGAAGCATGGGAAATCCCATGCCCTTTAAGTTGAGACTCAAGAGAGTAGGGATGAACCATAAGTAGGCAAGCCCTCAAAGGGACTGCAACCTGTATCTCTTCAAACCCTGATTGATACTGGATCCTGGATGCCTTATATACATACATTCATAAAATCACCAGGCACACAGGGAAACACAAGACAAGATGAACAAAAACATATGGGAACAAATTAGCAATGTTCCAAAAACTGAGGCTATAAAACTTAGACCTTGTGAGTTTAAGTATTGTGTTCAAGGAGATAGATTAAATCAAGAATTTCAGTAGAGAACTAGTAATCACTTTTAAGAAGTGAAGGAAAGCACAGCAAAGTTGAAAAAAAAATTCTATATCTGAAAAGTACAACAAAAATTAATATCTCAATGGATAAGGTCTAACAGCAGATTCAATACACTGTAGTAAAAATTAGTAAACTAGAAGAGAGGTGAGAAGACTCTCCTGGAATAAAGCTCGAAGAGACAAAGAATGTAAACCAGAAAGGAGAAATAAAGCACAAAGGACAAAGCAAAAACAATCTAACATATGTTCTTATAGGAGAAAGAATGGGTTGGAAGAAATATCTGCAGAGACAATAATGGAGTATTTTCCAAAACTGACAAAAGATACCAAACCACAGATCCAAGCAGCCCAACAAACCTCAGGAGGATAAATAAAAAGATAGATATCTATAACTAGTCACACCATCATAAAGCTGCTGGAAATCAAAGACAAAAAAGTAAAATGCAAAACTATAAAACTCTTAGAAGATAACACAGGAGAAAGCCTAGATGGCCCTTGGGTATAGTAAACTATTGTAGAAGAGAGGTGAGAAGATGTCTTTTTTGGATACAACACCAAAGACACAATCTGTGAAAGAAGTCATTGATAAGCTGGACTTCATTAAAATTTAAACTTCTGCTCTGTCAAAGACAATGTCAAGAAAAGGAGAAGACAAGTCACAGACTAGGAGAAACGATCTGCAAAAGACACACCTGAAAAAGGATTATTATCCTATATATAAAAGAACTCTTAAAATTTAACAATAAAATAACCTGCTTAAAAAACGGGCCAAAGGCCTTGACACCTCTCCAAAGTTGACATACAGATGGAAAATAAACATATGAAAAGATGCTCCACATCATATGTCATTAGGAAAATGAAAATTAAAACGAGATACCACTATATGCCTACTAAAATGGCAAAGTCTGGAACACTGACAACACCAAATACTGGCAAGGATGTGGAACAAAAGAACTGCTGGTGAGAATGCAAAATGATACAGCCGCTTTGGAAGACAGTTCAGCAGTTTCTTACAATACTAAACATACTTGTACTCTATAATCCAGCAATCGTGTTCCTTGGTATCTACTCAAAGGAGCTAAAAACTTGGATCCACACAAAAACCTATACATGTACATGGATGTTTACAGCAGCTTTATTCTTAATCGTCAAAACTTGGAAGCAACCAAGATATCCTTCAGTAGGTGAATGGATAAACTGTGGTAAATCCAGACAATGGAATATTATTCAGCACTAAAAAAAAAAAAAAGAGAGAGATCCAGCCATGAAAAGACATGGAGGAACCTTACACATATTACTAAGTGAAAGGAGCCAACCTGGAAAGGCTATTATGTATTGTATGATTCAAACTATGTTGTCAAAACTATGGCGACAACAAACAGCAAAAGATTCTTAGGGCAGTGAAAGTACTCTGTATGACATTATTAGATATATGTCATTACACATTTGTACAACCCATAGAATGTACAATAGTAAAAGTGAACCCCAAGGTAAACTATGGACTATGGGTGATTATAATGATGCTGATAATGGAGGAGGCTCTGCGTGTGTGGGGTTAACGGGCATATGGGAAATCTCTGTACCTTCCTCTCAATTTTGTTATAAACCTAAAACTGCTCTAAAAAAAAAATCATTTTTTTAAAATAATTCTATACCCAGCAAAAATATAAATGAAAGTAAACCCCTAATGAAATAACAGATCTAGATGATGATCATCAATGGTTAGTACCACAAAACAAATATAACCAGATATTATATGCCTCTGGTGGAAGTATACAACACCACTTATTTAGTATTCTTGTCAAACTAGTGAACTGAATTTGATCAAGCTGCTAGATTTAAATGACAATTTATAAGAAGTATAGGGGTAAAGAAAAATGTTGAATAAAAGCATTAATACGCAATTAGCATATTCCAGGATGTGGGACCCTCTACAGAACAAATTGCAGTAAAACCTTGGATTGCGAGTAACTTGGTCTGTGAGTGTTCCATAAGATGAGCAAACATTTCTAATACATTTTAACTTGGTAAACAAGCGATGTCTTGCAATATGAGTAGACAAAAGAATACCTACTATATGATTAAATTGATATACTTAATACGAAGTTCAAAAAATAGGTATAACTCTTTTACAGATAAATAGACAAATTGTGATATATCCATAAATGGAATACACTCAACAATAAAAATGAATGAATTACTGATACACACAACATTGATCAATCTCAAAATAATTATACTGAGTGAAAGTACAAGACAATGGAGTACATTCTGCATGCTTCAACTCATATAAAATTCTAGAAAATGCAAATTAACCTAAATGTCAGAAGCAAATGAGTGGTTAAAACAAAAATGGAAATGAGTGGTTGCTTAGGGGTGGAAAGAAGGCACAGGAGTGAGGGATTACAAAGGGGATGATGAACATGTTCACTGTCTCGACTGTGGTGATGGTTTGATGAGTGTTCGCAAATGTCAAAATGTATCAAATTATATACTTTAAATATGTATAGTATACGAATGTCAGTTATACCTCAATAAAGCTATTGAAAGGAAGAAAGGAGTAAAGGAGGAAGCAAGGAAGAAAGGGAGGAGGGGAGGAAGAAGAAAGTCTGGATGACTGACTTAGGAAATTATTTAACCTTTTTGGGTTCCAATTTTCTTATTTATAAAATGAGATTCAGGGTTTTGATAATTAAATGAGACAATGTATGCAAAATCCTTAGTGCATAGTATGTGTTTATGTCTATCTTTTCTTCCTTTCTCATTCACTCCCTCAAAAAATAAGAGTATCTAATTGAGCCAAGTTCTGTGCTAGGTGCTGGGATACAACAGAATACTGTATACTGTTCCCCTTGTACAGGAACATAGAAAAAATTACAAAAATGAATTACTAAATTTTATAAATACTACAAAGAAATATATGATGTTGAGAGAGATTATAATAGGTGTTTTGACCTAGTCAGAGAGATTAGGAAAAGAATTCCTGGAAAAGTGACCACATTGCTGAGCTCTAAAGGATAAACAGGCATTAACTAGGTGAAGACAGGAATAGGCATGTACAAAGCCTGGACCAGAAGAAGCCTGTCAGTAGTATGGTCAATGTCTCTGGAGAGGAAAGAAAAAGGCGTCTGGTGTGACCTAAAGCTTGAAAGGTATTTTTAGGTCAGGCCAGGCAGGCCTATTTTAAAGGCAATGGGATGCCTCTGAAATGGTTTAAACAGGAGAGGTAACAAACTGATCTGTAGTTTTAAAAAAGCATTCCAATTACAGTGCAGAGAATAAACTGCAGGAGAACAAGAATGAATGCAGATAGGCCAATTAATGGCTATCACTGCAGTTCAGGCAAAATTAATGGATTAGATTAGGATAATATCTTGGATTCGAATAGTGAAGTTAGAGATTCATTCTATCAAAAAATCTTTACTGAGGTGTTTGTTAAAGGAACAAGCATTATCCCAAGGGCAGGAAAGAATAGTAAGCAAAAAAGACCAAAAAATCCCTGCTATGAAGAAAAATAAAGTAGGGAAGGGGGAGTAGAAGGAGGGGTTGTCTCACTGCTCACAGAATCATAAAGTGGTTAGATTCTACGCAAAGAAGGGATGGCCCAGGAGTCCTGGATTTATTATGGTGATTGACATAAACAGGGCTAAAAGGCATGATGACAAAAGCCTGCTGGTCTCAGGGTAGACAGATACAGTAGTGATGTAAGTGTTGGAAAGAAGGAAGGCTAGGGGACATGACAGAGATGCCGATTCTGGATCTCTCCTTTACTCCTGCCAATGCTGATATAGAAAGCCAGCGAAGGATAGCTTTCTCCATAGTCTTTAGTCTTAGAGCTTTTGGACTTCCTCTTAACTCCATTAGAGAGGTGGCAGCCATATGGGAATTGGTGTTAAATGAAACAGTATGTTCCCCAATTCCTACTGATCAGTAAACTCCCCAAAATCCAGGCAAATGCCTGGCCCACAGCAGACATGGGATACACAACTAGTATATTGTTGAAAGAATAAATCAATGAAATATCTACAGGCAAAATGTCCCTATATTATCAAGGTAAAGATTTTAAATGTGTTCATATAAAAATTACCAAGTGGGACTTGCCACAAAACACCTTTAATAAAATCAAGTTATATTGATTTTTAATAGTTTCTAAATTGACTACTATATTCTAAGAGTCTTAAAGACAATCACATCTTATAAATTTGCACAATTTAAAAATATATACTGAGGGCTTTTTAAAAATAAAAGTTATAATAATTAAATTACATAATTAAACTACAAGCTCAGAAAACGTATTCTTCTAATTTTAGTATGTTTTAATGACATGTTTATTTAAAGAAATGGTAATATTTTATGCTACAAAGTTCTCCAATTTTTCTATTTTATTACCTTGTTAGCATATGCAATAAAAAATATGTAGATAGTATTTTCAAGCCACTTGGAGCTACTACTTAGCCCTCAGTGTGTAGATCACAGATAACCACTACTCTAAAGTGTAACTATAGTATACTTTTAACAACTGTACTTGATTACCTTAATCCAAATCCAACCCAATCTTTCTCAAGTATTTATATTCTAAACTTTAACTTGCATTGTTAAATGACTCTAAAAAATACATACCTTTCTCTTACAAAATCTGCTAGTTCTTTCGTCGATATCTGTCCATGTTTCATATTATGGTAAAGGACATCAAAGCCACTATTTTTTTCCCCCTACAATTTAAAAAGATTTTTAGTTTAAAAAAAAAAAAAAAAGGAGAGATCAAAATGACTTAAAAATAATCCTACACTAACTAATGTGCAATTCTGATGCTCAGGTGAGTTGTCTTTTAACAAATATTGCTCATTGTATGACTTTAAATTGTATCAAAGGAATACTATAAGGTTTCATAAAGTTTACAGTTTATTATATACACATACATGTACAATCACATACATATGCATACTCTATAATCACTCATAAGGGTATACTGATGAAATTAGTCTGAAATTTTAAGGAATAATACGCAGCATAACTTAGAAAAGATAAACATGGGCCTCTTTAAATATTGGGTTGTCAGAAAAATCATGACACATTTTTGCAACGAAAAACAGAAAAAAATACGTCATGACTTTTCCAACAACCCAATACATTACCAAATCCCAATTCAATTCCTTTAACATGCATTCAGGGATTCCTGATTATTTAACTCAAAGTCTGTGCTTTAAAATCACTAAATCTTGAATTCTGAGTCAAGATAGCATGTTATTAATCATATAAGCACTGAATACCACAAAATACTTTACAATTGCTAATATAAGTCAGTGAACTTAACTTGGTAAGTGAGAAAGTAGATTAAATTTTAACAAATGAGTAGTAACAGTCTATTAGCTAGTCTTCAACTAATGGGAAATTAACAGAACCAGGCCACTACACAATCCTGCAAAACCTTTACTGCTGTTTAATCCAATGAATGCTAAATTAGCAAGTCATAGCAAAGAAAACGTTAGAAATATCAATGTTATAAATCAATGTGAAATAAAAGACTATTAATAAACCAAACTCAACAACTCTCTTCAGTTAATTTTCATTTTTCAGTGAAAATAAAATAATGAAGAAATATACTTATTGGAAATAGAAAGCAATACCGTAAACAAGTGTTATACAATCTGAAATCTAATTTTTCCATTTTGCTGAAAACAGGAAACATAAGGAACTTCCAGTTATGTTGAAGTGATCCCTAATAAACCTGTCAGCTAATAGTAATTAGTTTGCCATACAATACAACAAATTAAAATGTAGTATTTGTAAGAATATAATATCATACAATTTTTCATGTTTAAGATAAAGAAGAAATTTATTATCTAACGTTAGCTTTTTACTTTCCCTGGGTTTTTCACGCAAATTTATTTCAGCTAAAATAAGAATATTCTTTTTTTTTTTTTTTTTAAAGATTTTTATTGGGGAGTTAGGGGGATAGGAACAGTGCTGGGGAATTGGGAAAGGGGAACAGACAAGTTGCTATTGTTTTGTTCTTCAATCTAGTTGTGGAGGA